CTATGCTACGCGTACGTTATGTTATGCCATGCTATGTTTTATACTGTTAAGCGCTAAGCTAATTTCTGCTATGGTATGCTATGTTATGTTCTTCTTTCCAAGGCTCTAGGCCTAGCTAATTTTTGCTATGCTATTATATATCGTTCATATGGGTGCTGAAGAACTTACAGATAGCGTTTCCGCACGAAAACTGTAACAATCACAGCAAGAAGTGCTAGGAGTCCTACGACGGTGCCCGATATTATTTGGATTTGATTAGACCTCACTGTTTTTCTTCTCTCTGCGTAGAAATAATAAAACATCAGCAAAATTAATGGCAAGTCCTAGCAGGCGCGGCAAAACAAGGATTGAAGAAACTCACGCTCAGCGTGATCGTGACGATACAACTGTATCTTGTACCTCTCGGGAACGTTTGCGGGCAATAATTTAAAGCTTTGAATGACAGACTGTTCATAAACCAAAACTTGGAATAAAAAGAGTGTGTTTATAGGGGAGGGGGCCGAGGGGTTGTTTACGAAGAATCAGAAAACAGCCCTAAGAAATTACGCGCGCTGCATGTTTAAAAATCGTTCTTCTATTAATTAAACAATTAGATTCTGAGCTCGATATTTCTATCGCATGGAAATCAAGAGCGAATAATCTAATTGTTTTAGTATAAAGCTACTATTCATTCAAAACTTTATCTATCTCCTCATCACAGACACTTAATAATGAAAACTTCGAAAACGCCAAGAAGCGGCCGTCATTTTGTCAACAAGGGTACACTGCTACGCTGCTCACTATCTACGACAGAATAGATAGTGAGTAGCGTAGCCAATCAGAGAACAGCATTCGTGATAGAACGCTAGTAGATAAATACTAAAGTTTGATAGAAACACAGACTAGCACGAGTTGTTGACGTAATGAGGATGCGAGCAAAGATAATTTACATTTTGATGACCAAAGTAAACAAGTTGTATTTTTTTCCTTCCGCACTTGTTCTTTTAAAAAAAATAGAACATGTTCCCCTTGCATCTATCGAGTTTTAGTATAAATCTACTAGCGTTCTATCACGAATGCCGTTCTCTGATTGGTTACGTTACTCGCTATCTATTTCTTGATAAATAGTGTCTCTTTTACTCGATAGAAACACGGTATATGCTTTTTATTTCTTACGTAGTGCATAACTCAATGCACTACTCCCCATCCTCAGAAAATACCTAAAACTGAAAGCACATCGTATTCGCAGAAGAAACCTGACACTCGCTCTCACGCGTCTCCAAACG